TTGCTGTGTTGTGGAGAATATTCCCGGCATTTGCAAACTGAAGCCCGAACAAGAAGAGTGTTTGTTAAACATTTTGAATGGAGGCAAAGCCCATATTAGACATTCTCTGATGGAGGGGATGTTTAAGTTCAAGAGAGAGGTGATTGCGTTATGTGATTGGCTTACGGGTAACCAATGATTTTATACTTCAGAGAAATGCTCCCCTGCGAGAAAGGAAACAATTTTCAGTTATTCCAATCCAGACTGTCTATTAAGCAAAGCGAAGTAGTAGAGTTTAGTATTACCAGGCAACCTATCACAAAATAGTATTTCTCAAAAGGTCAAAGAACTTCATGAGCAATTTTAACGGACACACCAGGAAATCTAGTGGTCACTCTATCCACCGCAACTACTGGATAACTATTTCCATTTGCGAGCATGCTGATCCTGAAAGTTTACTTAGCAATGAGCCCACAGCCCAGTTGTTTTCTGACAAAACAAAAACGGGGAGAAGGAATTAATCAAATTAGTGTCAGGTGTGGAATGTTTCCCAACCCAGGAAGGATGTAGGTATCTCAGATAAAAACTATAGATGGTGCGTTAAACATGCACACAGTAATGATCCCATTCCTGACCCCTTTTGACCAATTCGAGATATATATTTAAAACACAGACGGACCACCTACCAATGGATTCCTCTACTATTCTTCTACAATAGTGTCTCATTCACTGTTTTTGCAGTGTTCATTTCCACAAGAACCATCTCCATACTGTACAGATACAGGTTTAGTTAATGAATGTTGCAGATTTTGGTGATTTTAATTCCATCAAACCTTGTTTTTTTTTTTTTTTCAAATAGCACCCCTACTGTCCAAAACAGGCATGATCTTGTCACCCCCTCCAGCTGCCAGCTGCCTCCACTTTTTGCAGCTCACTGTCAGCACCAAAAGCATTGCATGGTTGCAGATGTCCATGGACCATTTCCAGGCTCTTGTTCTTTGACATCAACTTGCAGATTGATTCAGACAATGTAATTGGATATCTAAATGTTTGATCCACTGCCATGCTCAGCTTATACAATGCTTGGAGAAAAGGCCACAACAGAAAGATGAGGGGGTATTGAAGCGTCTCTCTCTCTCTCTCTCTCTCTCTTTTTACTTTTCATCACACAAAAGAAAACCTGGGGTTGGGTTTTGCCCCCTCTCTCACTTTCTGGCTAACCGTAACAAATCCCCTGGGCTCTGTAACACTGTGGTTAAGGAGGAAAGACTGCTGTGAGAAAGTCCTCGTGCTTTTGATGGCAAGCAAAGGATAAAGTCTTATGTTTTCAATTAGGGAACATTAGGTAGAATTGCCCCAGTGTTGTGCTGCTTGCTGAACATTAATTACCCCACTGGTTAAAGAGGCTCAGGCAAGCCACATTAACTCTGTTTATTCCTCAGGCAAAATGGCGAAAACCACCACAGAACTGCAAATTTCTCCATAAAGTTACATGCAACAAGTATTAGAAACAAAAACAACAACAATAACTCAATCTTTGTACAGATCAAAAGCACAAACAGTGTTGTGATGTCTACAACATATTTTGTGATAACTATTAGTTGTGTTCGATACTATATACAGTTTAAAAAAAAAAAGATTATTATGACCTTAATTGTGGAAAAAGCACAAATATATGACTAGGTACAGGATGTTGCACAAGTTTCTCATCAGAGTGAACAGATTTTATCCTGAAAGTTCCAGCTAGAGTTTCTGGGAAGCTGAAACTTTGCCATGACTTTATAAGTTGCTATTTGACTAATATGATGATCCAACCAGCAGACTGGTCCAAGTGTCCTGGAGTTTCCGCTTGTTACAGATTTTGTTGTACCACAGGCTAATTACACACTAATGTTTGGACTCAGGTTTTTGGATACTCGTATTACCAGAGCGCTGTGTCAGAGTGAGAGTGGCTGGAAGCTGCATGCCAGCTGTGAGAGACGCAATAAACTGTAAAACTGTATTGGAGTGGGGGAACTACAGAATAACAGACTCACAAGAGCCACAACAACAAACCCTGATTTGATTCCAGATTGTCTTTTCTCATTTAACATGACGTTCAGCTAATTAAACATGAATGTTGGTTCTTAATATGATACGTAATAGTTGTTTTGTGTGTTTAATTATATGTGGGGTGATGGACATAAATGTGTAAACATACAACTTGCCATAAGTACTGTTTGCACTTTGCACAGATGATGATCTTTTCACATAATTTGAGAATGAACTGCTTTTTTTCCCACCCTTTCAGTTTCAATCAATATGCAATGAGAAGCCCGGTGAGACGTCCAAATCGGAGTGATGTAAGATATTCTACAGCTACAACATTTGTGTATAGGCTCCCCCACCCTTACGAATGTGACGTTAAGTGGCCTAGGACTGCAGGAATGCCAGGGCATAGCTAAAAGCCATGAGAAACTGGCAGCTGCATGTTTTTGTTGGCCAAACAGCGCATTGTCAGCCAAGGAGAATATTCCAGAACTAAGGTACATATAAATATACGTTTATTATTTCACTCCTTGCCCTGTAGTGACCCCTGCCATCCATTTTGTTTTTATCGTGCGTGATGCACTGGCATGCATGAACTTCCTCTTCCTTTGTGCCTTGACTATGTGATCTTTGTGTGACTAAACCCATGAAAATATGCATCTGCTCTACCAGCAAATGCAATAAAAATGTGTGTGATAATAGTCCCTTTAAAGATCCTTTATTGTATAGTTTGGGAGTCCTCATGTGACTGAATTGGCTTCTGTTGGTACAGTTGATCTAGGCCATTTTTTTTCAGATATCTAACTGTAAAACACCACAGTAGCAGTTTTAGGACTGGGAAAATATCTTCTTCAGGGATGCTAGGTCTGCCAGGGTGCTAAAGATGAGTGAAGGTGTTTTCTCACTCGCCTTTGAGCTCAAAACACTGCCAGACAGAATTAATAATATTACATGATGCTTGGGCGACACCAACCGTTATCTTGGCACCTGTCCACTGAAATGCCACATAGCTACCAGGGTGTATAATGCCTGAACTCACAACATGGGAAAAGGTGGTAACTGAAATTTAGCATGTAGCTTGGGTGGCTAACGTAACTATGGGGTGAATGTGAGCTCAGCTAAACACATTTGCTAACAGGCTGTCATAGCGAATCATACTTTCTTGCCCTTTTCCATCCATTAGAGGAGGAAAGTTACGCCTCTAAATGAGCTATACTTGCATTGGGAGGTCACTGTCACAGTTTAACTGTGTGTGGCCGGTTGGAATGCAGTATTTCTATCTTCTCAGTCTTTCCTCTGAGGCTTTATTCAAATACCATGTAATTTGACCCTTTTTAGCCACTTAGCTTAGTTTAATTTAATTCTGCAGCAACTGCAGCGCGTGGATGAGTGTCCACACTGAAACCGCTGATTTGGTTATGATGATAAATTGAAGGTTTTTCAGATCAGTCTTTCTCATTTTGTAAATTTACATTTGTATATTTAGTAGATGCTTTTAGGTATAAGTTTTATCAGTTCATGCATTCTCTGGGAGTCAAACCCATGACCTCGCCATTGGCAGTGGCTTGCTCCGGTGTTTCGGCTATAATAATACATTTTGCCAACACAACATGAACAGAATATTGCTTTCACAACCAAAATTGGTTTTAATAAATGTGTGTTTTAATAGCACACATTGAAGTGGGTTCAACCATGATTTTTAGTCTATATTATTATTTCTGTATTATTTATAAGCAATGCAATTTGTTTAGATGATAAAGGTGTCTGACAAAATGGATAAATGTTTAGCCACTCTCGATATAACTATAACTAAAGTGAGTGATATTTTATGATCTAAAACCTTTAATGCTAACTTAAAATTTACTAAGAGTTTAATTATGAATAATGTCTGCTAAGGTCAGTTTCAATCGTTATAACTAGCATTGAAGATTTTCTTTTTGATATGATGAACTTTAATGCAATTTCGGAATGCAACTTCGGAATTGTGTACAAACATCTGCAACATTAGGACTTGCTTGATACAGACATATTGGCTGAAAAGTGCTGCTATGTTCTGACCATCCATTGGCAAAGTCTCACAGGAGTGCCAATTGCACTAAAGTGCCAAGCATTTAACAGACTGGTGGGAATGGAAACGTACAGTGCTTTGCGGTCTCTTGGTGGGGAGGGGAAGAGGCTTCACGTTTACAATGACTTCTTGCAACCTCCAAAATCTTAACGACAGCATAACTGTTACCGCCTAATGAATTCAGCTGGGTTACAGTTTCACATTACTCTTTTTAAACCCACTGAGCTGGACATTTGAGGAGAACCATAGGAATATAGGGCAACTTCAGATTTCAAATTACACATAGTTTTGGCAAACTTTGCTGGTGTCTCTTCTCTAACAAGGGGGGCGGCTGCCTAATTCAATTTTTCATTTAGCCTAAACTGATGATGTGATGTGTTTGTTTGCTATGGAAGTGCATTTTGTAGTTTCTTATTTAAAGTGCTAGTTTTCTCTTTTTTAAAATATTTTGTTTTCTTTTAACATTTGAACTGAAAATATGTCCTGGTGTTTAATTCAACCACCACACTTTTGAGAAGTTGCACTGTGTTTAAACCAGACTTCCCACCGTTAAACCCACTCAACGCATTACTCTCACCTCTTGGGAAAAGGGGCGTACAGCTCTTCCCTGCCCACATGGGCGTCACTTACAAACCAGCTCTTTTTACTCCTTTTTGAAATAACGGAACTCCCTGGAATCTCCCTGGAAAGAGAGCGCCGTTTACATATAACTGTCTTCATCCATGTGGCTAATAATGTAAACATCCATCTATTTTCAGGAGAACATGAACCAAACACTGCGGTCCACATTTCAGTCTACAATAAATCCACGGCAATTTCAACACATGCAGTCATAGAAATCAGGATAAAGATGCTTAACAGACTCCTCAGACACTTTCCAGGCTTTTCCAAACTCTTCAGTCTCTAAAACACACATATACGCCCATGTTTCGGCCAGCTCCACCCAGACAGAGAGCAGGATATAGCCCGCAATTACGATCAACGGCATGTTTCCACTCCAAGCCAGAGCCCTTTGTTTTAGTTTCCCGCTAGCTTTTTTAACACTGTCTCCTCTTGAGTAAACACTACAAACGGTTGGGTGTCACATCAATCAAGGTGAGACTGTTTTTTAAATAAAACATTATATTAGATCTCAAAACCAGTGATACTTTTCTAGAGCTTACAAAATGATGAATCCTGATAAATTATCAGGAAAAAAGATGTTCATATAAATCTCTACAGAAACAAAAAATGATGCAAGATATAAAATAAGAACATAAAAAGGATGCAAACAGTTAAACAATGATAAAACGCTGCATGTAATACACTAAATAGCTTACAAAAGACTTCAAATAAACTTACTGTGAAGAAAAAGAAAGCCGAACATTAAAGCCAGTGCCATGGTTTTCCAGAGTTCATTCATTCTTCGTACAGCCATTCTGAACTCTGAGCACGCCGAGGTGTGAGAGTGTGTGTATGCAGGCGCTGGGGCAGGGCTGAAAGAGTTTAGGGGTTTCCTGTGCCTGAGACTGAAATGAGCGGGTCACAAGATAAAGCATGGCTTGTGCTCCAGGGGTTTTATATGGCCCCTCTACACTCCCCCTACACTCTCTCTCTCTCTCTCTCTCTCTCTCTCTCTCTCTCTCTCTCCCCTACCGTCATTCTTCTTGTCTTGCAGGCAAGGCCACCTCCTTCATGATGTGTGCATTTGATAGTATAAGAAAAGTTGTAACATGTATATGTTGCTGTATATTATTTATCATATTTATTTTGTATATTTATATTAAGTACTTTGAAAAAGTCTCTTCAAGTTTCTCTGAAAAATTCATAAAACTACAAAAGCTGCCGCCAATTAAACCTCCAAATAGATTCAGAGAAATGAATCTGATTCAATTTTATTTATCGATTGATTGATTAATGATGTCATTTTAAACATTTTCATCTGTTGGTCAAGGGGGTTCATATATAAAACGTTTAGGATTTCCTTTAATGAATATATTCCATATCTATTTAGTTGTTGTTGTACATTATCATATAAGTTTCACTCCGCCATTGAGGAAACAATTAAAAAAGGATTTTTGACTTTATATCTTACTATTACGACTTTATATCTCTTAATTTGACTTTATATGTCACAATGTTACTATTTCTTATTTTAATCTCACAATCACATTTATTTTTTAGGCTGGTGTGGAAATAGGCTTCCAGTTTATGTCATAGTTTACAATAATTTGCATTATAAAAAATGAAAAATCTGGGTGGTCTGAAAGTTTTTATGGGAGGTCCATCTGAAAAGGTTAAAAACAGAAAACATTAAATTAATTTTGCTTGTCCTTTTGGTATTTTAACTGTTGTCCTTTCTTCTCTCATCTCTGCAGACTGTGTTCACTGCTGATCAGCTTGTGAAAGCACATGGCGTCATGCAAGCTGCATTTGTGTGTCCCTGGAACAATGAGTAATACAGTGAGTCATCTTTAACCCTCAATCACCCAAAAATACCAACACACACGCATATGGGAGGGAAAAAAACGGAGGGGAAGCTAAAAAAGCCGACACGCACATGTACCAATGCATCTAAACATGCACACACCCTCACGCGATCCCATTTCCCCAAGACAAACTTTCATTTCTCCTCGGTGCGACTGGGCGGGAATCGTTCACATGTATCTGTGTGTTGGCGCCGCTTGGAGAACATCTGGAAACAGTGCAGTGTGAGCAGCTTTGTGTGTTCTTGGGGACTGCTCGCAAAATTACTTGTCAAACATTTCGGCCAGATGGGGGAGAGAGCGGAGAACATGTGTCCCCCTCCCACAAGCCTGAGTTTTTCATTTTCCCTCCCTTTTTGAGGTGTGGGGAGTTGAGAAGTGAAATGATTGATAGGCTCAAGCACACAACATCCACCTGGGCTATCCAGTTTCTGGCCAGCAATGGGTGGAGTGGGACCGCTAGCACTACGGTGTGAGGAGGGTCCGACTGCACGGCCAAAGCTCCACATATGGAACCACATGTAACCTGAGCTGTAACGAACATTACAAGGCACTCTGGTTACAAATGGCCAATGCGTAAAAAAACAACAACACAATTATCAAACGTTACACAGAATAAAAACAGCATACCGTTACCGAATGAAATATCGACCAAGGAAGAGGTATGGCGTGTGCAAGCTTTGGAGGTGTTGATCGACTCTATCTACTCAATCTGTGTTGATCAACGTTCTGAATGCGATCATAGTCTTTGACAGAAACTTTCTCAGCTTTTTGTTCAAAATGTTGCTTTTTTTTTTTATGAAACACTTGAGTACTGATAAAAAAAAAATAATGCATGAAGCTAAAGTTTGTTGCTCTTTTCTTTGGATATATTGTACGTTCAGATTTTCATACAACAAAGTATTCTGGGGGCCATGAAAGCTTTATGAAAATTATTTAAAAAAAGAGTCTCTTTTTATTTCTCATCTGAGAAAAGACTAAGTTCTCACTATTAGTACTCTGCCTCAAACTCCTAATAACTGCTTATTAATAGTTAGTTGTTAAGTTTAGGTACTAGTTAGTAGTTGTTAAGTGTAGGTACTGGGTAGGATAAGGGATGCATAATATGGTTTAGCAGAATAAGGCATTAACATATGCTTTATACATACTAATAAACAGCCAATATCCTAATATACATGCTAATAAGCTAATAGTGAGAATTAGACCATAAACTAACGTGTTACCTAAGATTGTTCTCTCCCTCATCCTGGAGCAACTCGAGGTCAAGTCAAGTCACCTTTTATGCACCTTTGCCAGGTTACGCATCTTAATCAGGGGTTCAATATTCATGAGTCATTCCTTAAGGGATTGAACCAGCAACCATCTATTCAACAGCTTTAGCCTCTATGGAACACCAGCCTATAAAGAACTTGTTGGGGAGATAAACCTTACAAGTTCCATCATTCATTTCCTGTTTGTGATATTTCCTGCTTCCTGTCATTTCCTGTTTGTGGTATTTGTCGTCTTAATTTACATAACATGGAACACGAAAAAATACAGGATTCGTGCACATTCACACCACACAAAGGCACACACAACCCCTTTCAGACACCTGTTTTGAATTACCATCGAGAAGGCTAATCATCTTTTTCTTCCTCTCTTTCTTTCAGAGTCTCGGGGGTTTTGAGAAGGGATTGCCTCATAGCGTGTATGTTCTGCCTCCTCCTTCCTCAGCCACGCCTGTGAGAACACAGAAAAGAACATGTACATGTTCGCTCCGCAGCCTCACGAGAGCACAAACAGACCGTCTCTGTGGCCGAGGGCACCGTCCAGGCATCATGTGGTGGGTAAATGGTCTGAGGCACTTGACCTTTTGTGACCTTGTTATTTTTCAGTCCATGGGGGTAAGCGGGGGGATGGTTTACACAAACTGCCACAATGTCACTTGCATTCCATTGGGAAGGAGGATGACTTCCACATGGTTAAGAATGGTTTAGAGCTATGCCCATGCATAAAGCAATAAATAGGGCTGATAGATAAAATCAGTTTATCTATTCTATGTGTACACTACCGTTTGGGGTCTATGAGACTTTTTTTTATGTTTTTGAAAGAATTATCTTATGCTTACCAAGATTGCTTTTTTAATTTTTTATTTCTGTGATAACACGGAATTTTCTGCATCATTACTCGTTACAGTCTTTGGTGTCACATGATCCTTTAGAAATCATTCTAATGATGATTTCTTATTATCAATGTTAATAAAACAGTTTTTATTTTATTAACTGTTAATATTTGTGTGGAAACCATGATACATGTTCCCATGATTTTTATGGATAGAAAGTTATACATTTATAACATTACAAATGCCACTTTTGTGAAAAAAACGAAGCTTTTTAAGCATTTCAGAGGATGTATAGGAAAGGCTGATCCATCAATTGACCAAACAGACATGATTGAACTCAAAAAGTTTTATGCAGGAAGTAAAAATATGATTCATTAAAATGGACAGTTTTGAACATTTGGTTCACGTAAAAATCACCAGATTGCGATATATTGTTATAGGCTAATATTACAATATGCATTTGATACATCACTCAGCCCTATATAGTAGCAAATTCTCTCATATTGTCGAGTGCCAAAAAGTATCAACTCAATTAATATAGCATCTGCACTGTGAAAATGTTTCTAGATTTCTGTGGATGTTTTTCACGTCTAGTTGAAGAGAGCGTTGAGCTTCCCCTGACTCCAGTAAGGAAGTGGGGTGGAGAAACCTGTGGTTGTGTGACTGCGGTTTGTATGCGGTGATGCTTCGGTTAAGCTGTTGTGCATCTGTTCAGTGTTCATAATTTACATTGACATTATGTTAGCGATCTGGTGCAGCGTATAACTGTGACTGCACAATCAAATCTCTGATTTACATGTAAGTGGAGTGGATGGTTGCCAGGGCGTTGCTATGGTGTTGCCAGGGTGTCCTGGATGGTTTCTAGGTGTGTTCCTTTCTGGCCGATAGTCTCTATGGCTCAGGTTTCTTCTACAATGTAAGTTTAAATTATGTTTTTTTGCACTAGAAAAAAGTATAATTCATGTTAGAAGCACACATGTTGTGGGACGAGTTACTTACTAAAGTTTAATACTTTGTATTAGAAGTTTGAAAAAATTGAAACATTAGTAATAAATAGTGCATGAAGGTATAAGTCTTTAGAGTTATTATAGTAATTTGTGAAGCTAAATTGCAAACAAATGAGCGCAGCTTAGCCCCAAAATCCCCATACAGTTTTTAAATGGCAACATAATTTACATTGGCTTCTCTCCTCGACAACTGTCATGACAAAAGCTTCTGAAATCTATAAATAAGCTAAAACGACACATGTGTAATGGCCACAAAATTCCTCCCTTGTCTGTCCAAACAGAAAATAAGGGCCTGTTCAAACAAGCAGTGATCAGACTGACCAAGACCAGGCCTGTGTTCACGTCTGATGCCAAATGTGACATTGATATCATCAATGGGGACTTAAAATAAGAAACAAACAAACAAACAAAAGCCAAGCCACTTGAAACAGTGACGGGCAGCTGTTGAGTAATGCATGGAATAATTGGAGATTACTGGAGCCGCTAAATGTGCCTATCAAGCACATTTAGGAGGTGCAAATCGAGTTCCCATCTGAAAATAGGCAAATGCCTAGAAGCTCACAGGAATCTGGATTGCATTCCTGTAGAACGAATGAGACTGGAGTCACTTTGGCCAGAGAACGCAGGAAACAATACAGGGAGCCCATGTTCTGCACAGTGTAATAGCCAACACCCCCTTCTTCCTGCCCAACTATTGCCTGCTTCCTGTTTCTGTCTGATATGTGTGTATTTAGGAGTGTGAGTGTGTGTAGATTGTGGACACCCACCATTTGACCCCCTGTCATCAGACTAAATTTGGACATAGCTCTGGGAGATGATGGCCCTCTGGGTTTACTCTGGGAGATGATGGGACTTCATTGACCTCATTTATGGCCATTTTTCAAAATATCTGTTTCTGGGTTTTTTGTTAGTAAATTTTTTGTTTTTTGTTTTTCAGAAGAAAGGAAGTCATGCAGGTCTAAAATTACATAGAATGAATAAATGAAGACAAACTTTTATTTTTAGGTGAACTATCCCTTTAAGTGATAATTCCTCTTTGAATTTCCATGTTTTATTAGAGTGGAATTATTTTCTGGGTCACTCCAAGACACACGGAAAAGGAGACAGACCCTGAAACAACACACAGTAGGCACTTTTCCATGTGGGGAAAAATCGATTGGGAATCACAGGAAAACGGATTTTAGTGGAAAAGTGCCATGACAGATTGAGATATG